TGCTTTACACAATTGATGTATGTATGGATTGTGATAAGAGTTGTATGAGCCCCTAATAAAATGATTAAAAAAAATATGATGCTCTGGAAAGATTATTTCAGGACAGAAAAGTATTTGCAATATATATAGTATGCTAGTATCTAGCATGTAGTCTTCTGTTGAGAATACATGCATGTGCATAAATTATGTAATACTTGTATAAAGCACTTATTTCCATGATTGGCACATGGTAAAATTCAATAAACATGACTCATCATCCAAATCCTAAAAAAATAAAGATTCAATCAAATTAAAAATGATTAAGACTGAATAGTAAACTATTACTCACTTTAGAGATAACTCTGTACATTATGTCAAATAAGCCAGTATTTCTGCACAGGAGGGAGAGGTTTTGTTCTTGGGTTTTTAACCCCCTTCCATTTTTACTGCAGTTCCAGCTTCTAATGAAGGTTGGAGAAGAGAAACAAGTCTTAAACCAATCCTGTTCTCAAACTTGAAGGACAAATACAAGTTAAACCACCACATAGAAGCAGCTAGCTTATTTCCCTTTCCTTAGGCCTTCCTCAGTCACCAACAGCTGCAGCATGAAATTACAGAACATTTGCCATTCACTCTTTCCAATCAATTTCGTTACTCCTAGCCAGTTCCTAAAAATTGACACTATGGAGCAACTCGGAGGAGAAGGAGTGGGAAGAAACATAAAAACACAAAACTATTAAAATGCCAGAGATACAATTCCTAAATGTTGAGCTCCTTATTGCTGGTTTGGGTCTTCAGATATACCACACAACTTACAGATTTCAAGCACATTAAAGGATTCCACTCAGCGTCCAGGACTGTTCTAGGGTCCACTCAACTATAAGCTTTTTCAGCTTATCCTTGTCTTGAAATTAAGCAAGCTTTCTTAAAGGGGCAATTTAAGCACTTACTTTGCTCATACTCTTTTTTAACTTATTTTTCGAATACAGCCAATGATCTCAAACAAACAGAAAATAAGACAACACACAATCTGAAGCACGAAACACCACCAATTCAATTACACGTATTAAACGTCTATTAGCCAAGCAATGTACTAGACACACAAATGAAGGTATTTACATAGGAATATAAAAGCCAAATCCTTTGCCAATGCCTAATTTGGTTCTGACTTACAGCAACTCTTTGAGACAGTTGAACTACCTCCCCAGGATTTCCAAGAGTATAATTCTTTCTCCTGTAGATTACCAGTTAATTTTAAAATATAACACTATCTCAGTTGGGTATTTGGATCTTAGCACTGCTTCTGTCTAAAGTGTGCTTAATAAACAAAACGCTTAATATTTCAGCTGTTTCACTTCTCTAAGTGCTTTGGCCAAATTGGCAAGATGATACAGTATTATACACATGGGCAAAGACCTTTAAATATATGCTCTTAAGTGTTTAAAACTCTATTGAGAAACCTTTAACAGTGTACTACAGTATGATGTTACCTACTGTAAATATATTACAGCATAATTTATGTAAAATAAAAACTACAAAATAAGCACAAACATGCATGGCTAGTTCCTGTAGACATTTTGCTGTCAGTTATTTTTATTCAGTATCTTTAAAATTTTTTTAATAAAACATTAAAAAAATAGAACCATTTCATTCTATTTGAATGCTTTCTTCATGTGTTTTGATACTGTGCAAGATAGGGCTTACACACCTAATAGGTTCCTCCACTAAATTTAGATTAACTATATACTTATAACTATCTTCTAAGAACTATCTATCTCTCTACACAGTGCTTTTAACAATAAATAACAGCATGCACTAGATGCTTTTTCAGAATTAGGCCTCTAAACATTTTAACTGGATTTTATCAGAGCAGTATTAATGAAGTCTCAAGAAACTGGTGGTTTTCAGTTGCCTTTTGTTTTGTTTTTTAGGATGCAATCAGGTAGAAGGGAAATAATTGTGCTAAGAACAGTTCCTAGTATAATTAAATGGGAATTAAAGTGTGAAGGGAGAAATAAAAAATTTTAAAAACCTACATAAGGCCTATATAAAAATTCCTATGACTGGGCAGTTTTCAACTATACTTCAACAGTCTTAATCCATTTATATATTTTCTCTCTTAAAGCACAACTTTATAAATGATGAAATATACAATTTGAAATACTGCATTTCAAAAAAATGCTTTGTGGCCTAGTAATTTATACACACATAAAGCTGGCTCAAGCAAGCAAAACTAATTACCAGAAAAACACACAGCACTACCTAATAAAAAGTACATTTCAAGCAAAAGCCCCATGAGTCTGTCCCCCAAAAGTTAAAATCTCATATTGAAATATAGCCCCATGAGTCTGTCCCCAAAAAGTTAAAATCTCATATTGAAATATAGGCTAAGATACATTTATTGTTTGCTATTCTTATCCTACCAAAACAACTTTTATAACAAAGCTGCTAGCGAATAATTTATTATTAACACAGGGCAAATTTGCAAAAACAGAATTTTAAAATTGAATCTAGTAATTTAATTTCCAAGCTTTGCCATACAAAATTATGGCACACAATTTTGTGCCTTCGGAATTAAACCAGTGGGAACATGTTAAACTTAATTTAGTGTAACATAGGTGTCACCTACTGATAATCACTATGCAAAAAAAAATCCCCCCCAAAACGCACTTTCAATTTGTGGCATTTTCTGAACAGGCCTTTCACAAACAAGGTATTTGACGTGTGTGTGAATTCACATTCTCTCATTTGCTTTTGTATTAGCCACAAGGAGGTGTTTGATATTGTACTAAAAAAAAACCCAAAAAAACTGGCAAGTCTTTTCCCGTTTCTAAAATAGAATTTGACACTTTGAGGCAAGCTACTTGATACCGATAAAAATTACCGTCATTCCCTTTAGTAGTTTTAACAGTTTCTCTTTAACCAGGAGCTATCTGAGATAAACTTCTTGATCTTCCTCAAAGTAGGTCTAATCTGCCGAAGGCAGTGAGACAGTGTACTGCACTGTGAATGGACAGCCAGGTATTTTATGAATGGAGGCAATCACGTGATCCCAGCACCTCCCCGAACTGATATTTCCCACATAACTGTGTCAACATTCTGAGAACAGAGGTGGTTGTTAGTGTGTGCGTATGTTCTTCGATTGAACCCCCAACTTCCAATTTTCTTTACTGCCCAACTCAAAACTCTACATGCCGCCAGTCAAGCTTCGGCTAATTTTCCCGTAGGAAATCCTTTCCAGATGTCCAAGGTGATGGATGTTTAATTATATTTTTTTTTATGAATGAAGAGTGTGCTATGCAAATGAGGGCGATTCACAAAACCAGCGAGAACATGGCGGCCACTTCTCCTTCCAGCAGGCTGCTCCGACGCTGCGGCAATCTCCCTGCGCTTCCACCCGCTCCGCCGAGGCCTGTGCCGGGGCGGGGGGCTGGGCTGGGGCTGGGGGGCCGCTGCCGGGTACTGCTCCGGCTCGCTCCAGCGACACAGGCCTCGGCGCTGGACTCTCCAGTTCGCTCCCAAAGCTCTGCCCGGAGGAAGGCGCTGGGTTTCGGACGCCACCCTCGGGGCTCGCCCTAACGCCCGTAACTGTTTGCAGCCCGCCAGACGGACCAAACGCCCGCGGGAGGAGCGACGCGAAGGCGGCGGCCGCGGCGGTCTGCACGGGAGCGCTCCGGGAGCGCCGCCGCTTTCAAGGCCAAGGGCTACGCCAGGAACGCGGGCCGGCGGCCGCAGCACGCCCGAACTCCCGACCAGGGGCCTCGAGCCGTGAATGAATGAAGGCGCCAGCCCGGTCGGCCGGGTCAACGCCGGAGTCACCCTCCAGGTGTGCTTTCGCACGGCCCAAGGGTGGAAAACCACCCTGGAAATTCACCTGGGTGCCCGTAGAAGGCGCAGCCGAGATCCACCAAGTGAAACAGCCCCCCGTGTCTGATGGAAGTTCGGAAACTGCTGGCTCGAAGACACCCCCATTTTTGGTTTAGGAAGAAACCAACGAGAATCTTACGGGGCACAAGTTTACCGGGGGGAGGGGAGGGGGGGCGGCTTAATCGGCATCTCCGAGTCACTGACTCATCGAATCAGGGCTCGAGCGCGGCTCGCGGCGGAAGGTGCTCCCACACACGAGTTGCCCCGTGAGATCGCTCGAAAGGCAACGGGAGGATCGAGCCCCCAGGGCCGTCTGCAGCTGGCCCCGCTCCAGGGCAAAGGGACCGACGGGCCCGGGCTCTCCCCGGGCGCCGGCGTCCTTTCAGCCCGGCCACCTCACTCCACCTTCGGGGCGCACGGTTGCCAGCCCACCCCGACACGCAACACCCTTCCCCGGGAGGAAGCAACTCCACACGGGGAGCGGGCGCGGGGGGCTGCCGCGAACGACAACGGCCGAAGCAGCCAAGTGTTCTCTGCACAGCCCGCTGCAGCGAACGCACTCCCGAGGGCGGCCGGCTTCCTCCCTGCACCCGAGTCTCGGAGGGGGGACCCGGGGAAGGGAGGGGGTGCGGGGAGGGCCGGGGGGAGGGGAGGCAGCGGATCCCTGAGGCGCTTACTCGTCAGAAGGCGCCGTCTCCTCGCTCATCTTTCCCTCACCGCGATCCGATCTGGAGATGGAGGAGGAACGGCAGGCGG